ATCCAATACACAAGTTTAACAAAGTCTCTAGCCAAAAACCCTCAGAGAAGAGGTACACTACTTAGGTGTTAGTTACTACTACATAACCTATAAAACTGATTACATGATGACTAAAATCCTATTAAGCAGTGAGACATATAATCACCCACAATTTATTGACACTATGCACCTCCCCTTAGGGAACTAGCATACAGATGCCAATAGGTGGCAGTAAATAGCAGTATACGTGCAAACTAGAAAAATAAATGCAGATGGCCTGACTTTTGCAGTCAAAACAATTGTTTGGAGATAAGCGATTTGCATTTCTTCCCACTCCCCTTAGGGAACTAGCATACAGATGCCAATAGGTGGCAGTAAATAGCAGTATACGTGCAAACTAGAAAAATAAATGCAGATGGCCTGACTTTTGCAGTCAAAACAATTGTTTGGAGATAAGCGATTTGCATTTCTTCCCATGAGAATATCCTAACACCCCTCTCAAATCGCTTTTCGGAAAACATCAATACACATTACAGGGTAGTACAGTAAAATGATGACAGCAACCACCCAATAAATCAACAACATAAACATGAGCAGCAAATTAAATGCATTTCTTCTTTTCTGGAAACTTTCAAACTGGCTACAGCAAAAAAATGTCTCCCCCAAAGAGCAAGCAGGTTTCAGAGAAGGGAGAGCAATGCTAGATCAATGCTAGATAACTACTCATAAAACATTTGATGAGGCGTTTGTGACCTTAAAGACATTTGGTTCATTTATTCCCCAGGAACAAAATCTGATAGAAATGAATTGAGTCCTTGATTGATCAGAGACTGCTATGATAGGCATTTATGGGGGAGTTTACGGCTTCCCTACTATTTAATAGTAGGGTTAAATGAGACCTCTGGGGCTAGGAAAGAAATGGGAATGTCTAAAAACATGGGCAGATGGATAATCCAGGTCAGTCTTATCTAGAAAAATGGTATTTAGTTCTTTGACCTGCCATTCCGGAAGCAAGCTTTCAGAGACCCTCGCCCAAATTATTTAACTAATAAATGAAGGCTAGAATTTTGGCTTATTAACTTTCCAAGGTTCTATATGTTAACCCCATATCTTCTTGACACTAAACTTAACTAATTATATTTATCACGAATCTTTCTTGCTGGGTTGCTCATAGGGGCTTGACCCTAAATTTGGAGATAGATCAGCAGAGGTACTCTTCTATATCAGTGGTACAGCTTGTCTCCACACAACATAGGCGAGGCTAAGGAGTAATTTTTGGGCCCTAGAAGTCTGCTACATTGAAAAATGGCTAAAACTAAGATTAGTTGCCTGTTTTTAAAGAACCAGTGCACCATAAGCATAAATACAAATAGCATGGAACAGGTTAAAACCTTTACATAGATGGAAATATTTTTCAGATTTCAAAATCCTGGAAGGAATAAGTTAGATCCATGGAGATCAAGCCCTAGAAAAGTGCTAGGACTAACCAAGCTTTTTTTCTGTATTAGAGAACCAGGTGGTTTTTTTTCTGTATTAGAGAAGGCAAATAAATACCTGCCTGTATTAAAGCAGATGTTATGGTTCCCAAGTGTGAGGTCATAAAGTCTTTCAACTGCTAGAAATGGTTTACTCTATATTTCCAACAGATTCATAGTGATTTTTTTTTTCAGGCAGGTTCAGTGGTAACAATAGACAAACCATAATAGAAACACTGTAAAAAAAAGTGTTTCTATTCATTGTAAGAGAGGCGCCCAAGGGATCAACATATAACTCACCT